GACAGGCCCGAGCCACCTGGCGCCTGGCCGGTCAGTCGTGTCCTTTCTAAGGCGGGAGGGCGCTACCCTGTGAGCAGGTGACCCACTCTGTGTGTCCCTTGTCGTCCTCTCAGCGTGGCCTGAGCCTCAGGGCTGCTGGCCGTCCCAAGCCCCTCCCCCTCTCGTGTCCCTCCCCCCTCGTGTCCCCTCCCCCGTGTCCCCTCCCCCGTGTCCCCTCCCCCCGGGCGGCCCCAGCCCTCACCAGCTGGTGCTTGGCGGCCTCCCGGATCCAGCGGAGGTTGTCCTTGTACTGCAGCCTCGTGGAGGCCGGCCCTGCAGGGACACGACAGGGGACTGTCACCTGCGCCGGAAGTCCTTTGGGTGGGGGGAGGGGCGCCCAGACACCTGCTCTGGCCCCGCCCCCTCTCCCCCTCCCCCTCCCCCCCAGGGAGCCAGGACACGGGCCGGCTCGACACGCATCTCCTCCACAGCATCTACTGGGCGCCTGCTGTATACCCTGGGCCCGACGACGAGGGAGAGCGGGCGACAAGGCGACGGGGCGCCGGGGTGTGGGCGGGGGTGCCGTGAGTGGCTGTCACCTGGGCCTGGGGGGCCGCAGGTGCAGGGCCAGGTGTGGGTCCCGGCTGGAGAGCAGCCGGGCTGGGGGTGTTTACACCACGGTCCTCAGCGGAAGGGGAAGCTGACGGCTTCCTTGGGGGGGTGACAGTTGTCAGACACTTTCCAGGTGGCCTCCTGAGGGCCAGCGCCACATGCATGGGAAGCCACGCCCCCACATGCATGAGGAAACCACGCCCCCACATGCATGAGGAAGCCACGCCCCCACATGCATGAGGAAACCACGCCCCCACATGCACGGAGAAGCCACAGTCACAGGGCGGCCACGCCCACCTGCAATGGGAAACCACGCCCCCACATGCATGAGGAAGCCACGCCCCCACATGCATGAGGAAACCACGCCCCCACATGCATGAGGAAGCCACGCCCCCACATGCACGGGAGGCCACGCCCCCAGCACGCAGAAGCCACACCCACAGTCACAGGGAGGCCACGCCCCCAGCACGGAGAAGCCACAGTCACAGGGCGGCCACGCCCACCTGCAATGGGAAGCCACGCCCCCACATGCATGAGGAAGCCACGCCCTCACATGCACGGGAGGCGACGCCCCCCAGCACGGAGAAGCCACACCCAAAGTCACAGGGAGGCCACGCCCACCTGCAATGGGAAGCCACACCCCACATGCAGGGAAGCCATGCCCAGCTGCACAGGGAGGCAATGCCCCCGCCTGCACGGAGAAGCCACGGCCCCATATGTAGAGGGAAGCCATGCCCACCTGCACAGGGGAAGCCACGCCCCCACCTGCACAGGGGAAGCCACGCCCCAACCTGTACAGGGGAAGCCACGCCCCAACCTGTACAGGGGAAGCCAC